TTTTGTGCACTTCATTGGTGCTTGAAAAGCTGATTTATTGATAATTGCAACAAAATATAAATTGCAAGGAATTATATGCACTATCAGCCTTACTTATCAACCAAGCCAAGCCTATGTCACTTTTAGACAATCAGAAGCTTAAGGAAAAGGTTTTGGTCATACACAATGTGGCAGAACCGCCCGAGTTATGATGATTCACATGCACTTATTATTGTCTTAAAGACTTCTGACCATTATGCGTGGGACTCACACAACTCCGGTAGTCTATCGGGTGTCCTCGGGGATCCTGAATCATCCACTTTTCATATCCGATCAGGATCATTACATAAGACATTGCAGTATTACAACAGTTGGTACAAATATATTACATCAGAGTTAAAGAGCGGAAGTATTACAAACCATAAGTTTACAAACCATTTATTTAAGTTTTACAAACCATAAGTTTTTGCCTTCTCAAACGAAGTAGGGTAGCATGACTAAGACAACTTTATTCATTACATAAAGGTATCATCCTACCCAAGGATGAGAGTACAACACATCTACTGATGCCTATCATCTTCTAGAACCGACATACAACAAGGGCAAAAGCCTATCTATTGTTGGGGTTCACCTGCAACAAGGGTTAACAAACCCTGAGTACTGAATTGTACTCTGCAAGACTTACCCGACGAAAAAAAAGACTCTAAGGATATGCAAGCTTATGGGGAATCAAGGTAAGTCTGAAACAAGAATCAAGATTAACTTTGCATAAAAGCTTACTATTGATTGATCCTTACTTTCAATGTTTTAGCTCAAGTGAAATCATTACAAGTCTCTAGTTTGCACCTGGTCTAATCCAACCACTTCATTAACCATCATATCAGGTGATCAAAAGTACCAATGTTTCATTAGTTAAACTACGATGAAGGTGTGAGAATCAAGTCTCATGTTACCATAGAGCAAACGGTGATTCGAACCGATTAAACCCAGCTGGGGATTCCCAACCACACGACATATGCAGGTCCCAGACCTACATATATCAACCCTCACTCGGATCCTCCAAAATGTGAACCGGTCTGCGCTACCCGAGAATATAGTACTTCGCTGTCCTACATCATCCGTGATGTTTCTGTAAGGTGGGTACACGCTACTCTCACCATCTCCCACTCCCAGTGCGTAGTTAGCTTTTCACATAATGGAATAGCCGAGGTCTTAGGCTTACTGGAGTATGTGGCTAGTACTACAAAATCTTGATCCAAGGGCCAACAACGAACGGTCCTTAATCGACACAGACGGAACAAGCACGGCCAGGCAACCCTGTCGGCTTAACCACCAAAGACAATTTCCATGTCCCGTCTGGTCTCAAGTTATTCAAAATTCATTATTAAGACTCAAGACATTTCCTAGGCATATAACCATTGCGAATGATGAAATCACCACTCGACTCTTATCAACTAAGCATGGCTAAGCATAACTACCCTATGGTAACTAGCAGGGTGACAAGGATTAGTATTGAAATACCTTGGTAGTCATGCAGCAATTGGTAATCAATCAACTCCTAATCTTACTTAATGCAACAAGCATAATACTTAAGTGATTAACGTTTATAAAACACAAGGAATGGGTTTATGCTTCAGGGCTTGCCTTCGATGTTGAGGTTGTCAGATTCGTCAGATGGACCACAGATATCAAACCCAACCTCCACAGAGTGAAAACCCGCCTCTAGAGCTTGTTCAACAAAAGGCTCACCAGACTCGTTCACTAAATGTAAATAAAGATGCATGCTTTAGAATGATGAAACGCTAAGCATAGATTATGAAGACTAAACAAGATTACTTAACTTGAGTACAACTTTCCTTCACTTTCTAATTAGGTTAACTACTTCACAAAGCACTTTGTTGTTTATTATTAACAAGGTTGATTATGAGAGCAACAATCATAAACTTAAGTTGCCAAGGAACAGCAAGGGATTAGTGTTCCAAGGTCCACAATCAATCCCAAAATCACATCAACACTAGTTAAGGATTTATAGAAGTCATTTGGTATTTATTTAATCAATTAACAAGGCATTTTAGTAGACCTAAACTAAGTGGACAATTTATAATTATCAAAACAGTACCAAAATTTTTGTGAAGACAGATCTAAGCATACACAAAAATTTTCATGATTAAAGGATAATGATTTTAGCCTATAAAAATTATGGAAGGTTCATTTATTAATAAAAAGATGTAACTTTTAACCATAGCAAAACTACAGATATTGACCAACTCATATTTTTCCATGATTAAGCATATCATAACAAGCTCACACAAAACTTTTCATAATTTTATCAGCTTTAATTATTTAGTTATGAATTATTCAAGTTTCATGATTTATTAGCATTTCTAGAAAATCAAAAAAGGATTAAACTCCTTTCTTACTCACCCCCTCTCAGCCACAGTCGCTGACAAATGGGCCCCTCGGGTCAGCGCACAGGACTCCTGCACTGACCGCGGCAGAGGCGCCGTTGACCGGCGGTTTCCTTGCCGGCGGCGACCTTGCCGGCGACTGGGCTTGCCCCGGCAGACTCACCTCGCTCTCTCGCATCTCCTGATGCCACTAATCGACCATCTAAGGAAGCACAGCACGCACGCCGGTGGCCATGGCAGCATGGCAGAGCTCCGACGTGATGGCGGCGAACAACAACGCGACCTCCAGCGACGCGAAGGTCACCGGCACACTCAGCACGCACACGCGAACGCGCCCAAGGGGTAGGTTTAGCACGCGCAAGCTCGCAACACACGCGACCGTGGCCACGGCGGCTCAGCCGAACAGAGCACACCGGCACGGCGGCACTCTGGTCATAAGGGCCCAGTAGAGACTAAATTGGCGACGGCGTTAGCACGAGGGGCTCACCGAGACTTCAAAATGCCAGACGGTTGAACCGGGAAGGCGGCGGAGCTAGGTCTTCGACGTCGGAGACGATAGCGGCGGTGCAGCTCACAGGCACGGCGGCGTTCCGGCTCATCTAGACTTTGGCTGCGAAAATCGTCAAGCCTATGAGCAACAGGGTGACAAGGTGAAACAAAAACGCGAAGCGGTTGAGGCGGAGGCGCGCCATAGAGGGCTGGCCACGGTGAGGAGCTCACGGCGGTGCTCTAGCCAGAACCAACACCACACCATAGCCCGTACATCTCCCGTCTCATGGCATGGTCGTCTTCACGTACATTGTTCTCTTAGCCCGAACATCTCGCATGACATCCTTGACCGATAGGACCTTAGTTCCTCCCTGAACTTAGTCCTGAAACCTCAGCTCCTCCCTGAACCTAGTTCCAGTCCGTCATCGACGACGTTCCACCTCAAGCAACACCTGCACATGAACAAACACGCAAACTGCGTCCGAGCCCAAGTCCACGACTTGACCCAAGTCAATCCGCACAACACCTATCACAAGCATAAATAAGTAGCACATCCTTATGCCATAATGCAAATCACTTTGCAATGCCAATTTCATATCAAAACAATTTTTCATCACATGATCTCACAAAGGAGCATATGGTTTCAAATGAAAAAGTCATAAACATAAAAGTTGTAAAACTCATCAATCTCTATAACTTTTGTTTTGGTCATATTTTCATATGGCTAAATTTGAACAATTTAAATTTTGAACTTCAATAAATGATACATTCAAACAAAATTTTGAGACACCAACTGATTTGAACTCAAAAAGTCATGAACATAAAAGTTGTAGAACTCATCAAGACCTACAACTTTTATTTTGGTCATTTCTTCATCCGACAAAGTGATAGTAACATTGTTTATAAAACTTACATATCTCTCTTATGGTTTATGAAACCATAGAGAGATATGTAAAATTTGTGAATAATGTTCTTATTACTTTGTCGGATGAATAAATGACTAAAATAAAAGTTTTGGATCTTGATGAGTTATACAACTTTTATATTCATGACTTTTCCAACTGAAATCATTTACTCTTTGAAAATATTGTTTGAAGTTGTCATTTTATGAAATTCAAAGTTTGAATTTTTCAAACTAAGTCACATGAAAAGATGATCAAAATGAAAGTTATAAATCTTGATGAGTTTTACAACTTTGATGTTTACAATATTTTCATTTTAGATCATTTTATGTCTTAAAATTCAATTTGAAGTTCACAAATTCAAATTTTTAATTTTTAAATATATTTTTTTATTTTTTAAAAAAAATGTATCATTCTATATATATATTAGCAAGTTGTTTTTATGTGTACGGGAAAATATAACAAATTGTTATTAATATATTTATACATATATATATATATATTTATAAAAATATATGTAGAACTAATATTTAAAAAATACGAAAATATTTGTAGGGGTGGCTGGTGAATTAGCCGCCTCTACAAATCAAGGCGGCTCATATCACCAGCCGCCACTACTGTGCCATTTGTAGGGCCGGCTGACCTCGTGGGACCCCGGTGGGGGCACTGTGAGCCGCCTATACAAAAAAAAAAAGGTGCCATTGCTACAAACTAGTTCTGTAGTAGCGGTGGCCATGTTTAGGACATATCAATTTGATTGCTGGACAATTGCATAAGTTTATAGACATCTGTACGAAACGGCACAATGAACAGATGGGAGCTGTAATTCTATAGGCAGCACATACATACAAATATTATAAGCATGTGTATTTCGGCTGGATTAAATGTGCATATTGATATATGTAGGCATTGACACATAACCAGATAACTGTCAGTCTGTCACTACTTTTTCACATGCAGATTTTGGTTGGCCTACACAAGAATCTACTAGTGTTCTGCTACCATCTATCAACTCCGTAGATGATCATACGTGGTTTTTGTGAACGGCAAAAGTAAGTAATGGTTTTTCATCTTACAATACACATGTACACATCAAAGTCAAAAGCACACGATGACACGACAAAGTTTCCTAATTAGCTAGAAACCCCTGAAGAAGGCTACCTATTTTAGTACTGGAAGTCTGGAACTTCCACATGGAAAGTTCTATGTTCTATGCACAGCTTCAAGAGTCATCACCGCTATTCGAGTCCACGGACGAGGAAGATGAGGATGGCGAGTCAGGAAACTTGTACTGCACTTGAGGCTGTCCCCACGTCTGGTTCATGAAGCTCTGAGCATGGATAGGTTGGGGGCGGCGAGATGGATGTGGGGAATGCTTGTGTCTGTGGCTCATATTGATTATTTGCATCACAATGTCCATGATCGTGGGGAGTAGTCTTGATAAAATCGTAAGAAGAGCAGACAGCTGCACATAGAAGAAACTCAGTTTCAGATTAGTGCGGAACTACAGTAGTAAGATTCAGTTGCACTGAAATGCACTAGGCAGAAACGCAAGAAAGAACTGCACTGCTTGCGATGAAGAAAACAAGAAGTCGAATTCCAAGGAGCAGAATCATATGTAGTAACTTTGGGATCTAATTTCTGAATAAAAAGAATTTTATGTTCTTACCGTGCCATGACGAAAATAAGCAGTGATGTCATATTGCAGCCATATGGCATACGACAACACAAAGGCAACAAAGAGCCCTAGAAGGTACAATGGATTCCTGTAACAAAAAAAAAAGACAAATGAACCCGTTAAACATGCTGACAATGAAATCTGCAATCTGGAAGTGCCGCAGTCCTGTAGTCTGGCTTAGCCAAAAAATGGAAAGCAAACAAATAAATTATTCTAGTAAAATGATTACCTAAGAAGAAACATAAATTCGTTGTAGCCTAGTATTGCCAGAAGCAGAATAGTCCATGCAGGTGGCAACCAGCTCTTGCTACGCCTATGTGCTTCCTGGCATGAGGAACTCAGATTGGAAGAATTCGATTCACAAAATGCAAAATGAATTCAGATAGAAATTTCATAAACATAATTCAACAAAATGCAAGTGATACAGATGGCCTGACAAAACAAGTATTCTAAATATATGGAAAAACAAGCAGGGATGAAATCTAATATTGGTGTTCAGAAGTCTGAAACCAAGAAATCAGTTCCATAAGTTGATTATCCAACAAAACTGTGAACATGGATCATATTTATGCAAGTACTGGCTCCAAACAGGATGATCAATTGATGACAGTAACAAAAAATTATACCTGCATAGACATTGCTTGTGCAACAGAATACTCTGTCTCTGCTTTGAATTGCCTCCAGATGGATTTACACTGCACTGGCGTAATCAGTGTATCCTTTGGTGAAACCTGCACAAATACATAAAGCATTCCAAACTATTTCTCTGTAGAACATCCTAAACCATAAATATCCAAGTATAGTGTAGGCAACAAAACCTCTTCCCACGTGCTTGAAGCAAGTGGATCAGAAGCAAATTCTATGCTCCTCTTGTGGGAAAGGGGTCCACCATCTAAAAGAGCAGTAGTCAGAGCCCGTTCTATTTTGTTTGGTTTATCATCTAACCGAATAGCTGCCATTACAGACATAAGTCTTAAAGCCTGCAGTGAAACATGAGAACCAGATTATGTTTTTCATGGATGAGCATTATAAATAAGCTCAGACACCCTAGAAGTATTGTGATACTGATTAGCTGAAAAATGTCATCTCTAAATACCCCTAAGCGTGCTTCTCTAGTGATTGAGCGCATATCCTCATCTCCCATCCATGTCCTTGGCATCAAATCCCTATCATGGCTCAACACAGTGAAAAACCTACAGATAATCCAATCATATTAGGTACAAAATATATGAACACTCATTGTAGTAGGACATGAAAACTGACATTGCATTATCCCTTTTCCATTTCCCTTCAAATAACAAAAAAAGAGCAAATTCTACCTTTCTTTCATGCACATCAGAACGTTTCCAGCTTCTTCTCTAGCTTTCATTTCTACTACGCTTCTTGCATGTTCCCTCAAGTCTGAGACCATCTTACTGCAAATTGTCTGGTCTAGTTCAAACTCAGAAAGGGAAGGCTGAGAATGCAAGAGCAGCATTTTCAGTCTCACGCCTATATAGTCTCCTAATGCATGCCCAGGAGTCTCTCTTGCCAGTTTCCAGTATTGATTGTACAGGCCCAGCAATTGCGTCTGACAGCTTCTTCTGCAATATGCAAAATGGTAAAAGGTCAAAAGATATGGATGGAATGTTCTGAATTGACCATGACATTTAGAGGTTGTAAAATCAAGGAAAGTAACCTCATAGTTAGCTTTCAGTTCTGCCAATTTTGCGTTCCTAATAGATTCTACATGAGCTTGTATATGCTCTTGCAGTTTATTCCTAGCTTTTGAAGCATCACACTGCACATGTTTAACTGCTGTATCTGCATAAAAAAGAACTAGGGCCTGAAATCACTGAATTGTAGATTGTCAAATATAAGAGATACATAATATCATATAAGCTGTCTGCATGTGTATTCCTCACTTCATTTGCTCAGTTCTGAACAAACCAAGTAGCGGTGAAGGGATAAGGCAGACCAAAAAAGAGAGACAGAAAAACAAAAACTGCTGTTTGTTGCCACTGCCTTTTACTCTTATTGTGGCTGCTAACTTTGTGCTCTTGCTATCGACCACTGCAGTGCTGTTATGTGGGAATGTTCTCTTATGGTCCTTCCATAGGTCACGGTTCAGACCCTCATTGCCCATATATTTTTTATGGTTACAACTAGCCAGGTTGGGCACTTCATATGCACTTGCATATGCATGGTCTGTGCCTTTGGGACCGTCCGTCTATTCCTGTTCCTTCCCCGGAGCTTGCGATACCTGAGAAAGCTACTCTGTAGTACATGACGAAGCTTGCTACAAAGGGTTTTCTGTATGTAGTGCTATTCTATTCATAACAAGAATCATCCATTCCAGGAGGACACATGATACAACAAAGGACTCCAGGAGCCTAGGATTGCACTAATGGTATATTGTCCACCAGAAGATCAACAAAATCTTATTGTAGACCTTAATTATTTTTTTTAGGAAACAGGAGGGGTAGCCCCCTGCTGGTTAATATACATCAATAGTAGAAGAAAAAAGAGGTGCAGTAGCGGTTGTTCACATACCTCTTATTCCAGCATCAAACTCTTCCACTGAAGCTTGAGAACACTGACGAACTGATTCTGCAAATCCCTCTGTGTTCCTTAATGATTGTTCCAGATCACTTTTGAATTTGTTAAGAGCCACAAGATGCAGGTGCTCCATTACTCTCTCGATAGCAGGATATGTGTGCTGCAAAACACGACTTTTCTCATGACACACTGAGATAAAAAGGCCAGCTACAAAGAAGATGAAACAATCCACCAACTACCAAAGAAGTTGTAACAACAAACATCCGGTTTATAACATTATATCAGCCAGAACTATGTATGCATCAGTGCATAGGAACTTAGAAGCGCATGATAAAAATTTATTTACTAAAAGCACTGAGTGTTTGCAGTTTGCACTAAGATGACAGTGGTTGGAACATATACTCAAATATATCAAATAATAACTGGAGAGATAAAATTTTCATGAACCACTGATTCTTAAGCAAACTTAGTAATAGTCCTTGAGCTTGACCATGGTCCTCTTCAAGCATATAACAAATAAAATCCATCTAGGATAAAAACTCTCAAATCAGGGGTTATTTTTTGATCATTTGGAAATGAGTTACTCACATCTAGCATTGAAGATTGTAATTGTTGCCGCTTAGCAGCTCTTACACCTTCATCAAAATACATGGTTTCCATGTCATACCTGCAATAAAAATGGTACAATAACTTGTCGCATCGGTTTACAAGCAACAATCAGATTAATTCACGAGAACTCAGCATTTTGCTTAGTGTTATCCAGGACTAAAAATATGATCAGTCACCTCAGATATCAAACACTCTACTCCCAGTTATTGAGAATTTGCATGTCTCCAGTATAGTTTAAATTATTTCAACACGAAGAGGGTAGAGCACTTAATCCAGTACCAGTATTAACACATTGGAATTCATAGGAGTAACAAAGGGAGAAAAAGGAGGGCCATTATAAGAAAACCAGTAATTAGATCAACTTATTGTCAGATACCAACTTAGTTTCCATATAGACAGTCCACGATTAAATGTCAAACAGCATGAAAATGCATCAGCATTTTGTCTCAATACTCAAGAGAATGAACTGAAGCAAGTAGTTAAATCTAGCAAATTCATGTTTTGAACACACAGATTCATGGCAGCCACTGTGTTTATCTTAACTTTCTAAGAGAAAATCTATGATGATAATTACTTAGATCACCTACTCTGATAGATAAGAGTCAAGAATAGCACTGAGCTTTGTTCCGAAGCTTGGTGGCAAACCAGATTTTACAACTGCATCTAGCTCCAACCAACCCTGCAGAGCAGAATAATTCCCATTCAGCCAATCAAACAAATACAGTAATACAGAATGACATAAGAACATTGTCACCTTATCAGACAAAAAGTTTTTGAGCTTTTCATTTGCAATCTCTTCACATCGAACAGTAGCAACCATGACCTAGACAAAATACAAGAAAAGTTACATTTCAAATATAGAGTGTCGACATGTCCACACACACAAATTATTACTATTTAGTTTTGTAGCATTGATGGCAAATAATGGCACAATAACCTTGTGAGCAGGAAGGTTGAGGTCCTTATTTTCACGTATTACTTTCCAAATCTGCAGTGCACTGAGACAGAAGCCTGAAGCAGGTACCACACCTCTTCTATCAGCTGCAAGACCACCTAGTGCAATTGAATGATAAAACCTCTGCCTTAGTTGTCCAACCTGCAAGGAAAAAAATATATGACATAGTACAGTAAAATGTCTTCTGTATCATTAAATCATTAAAGTGAAATAAGGCATGCATAAATCTGAACTCATAAGTTCCACTGAAGATGAAAATTTCATAACAAATGCAATTTCATCCAATAGAGAAGAGAAGGGAATGGGATACACTGAAGAGAGAGAAATAGAGTACTTGTACGTCCAGTCTACCTGCTCCTTAAATAGTTCTTTCTTCTCTTCATAACTCGATAGAGCAGTGACCTCCACCTTTATATTGCAGAAAATATGAGTCAGTTGATGCATGAAAGCCTTACTTTCAGAAAACTGATGCACCGACATTGAAGAAATCACTAAGCGCTGCTTCCTTGTAAGCCTCTGGTTTCTGAACAGAGTTCCATATCTGATAGAAAAAGACAGTGATTGATGAGAATTGCGACATGACAAGGAGGAAAGCAGGTAAGCCGATAATAAAGCATTGGCACCTTCTGAATATCCTCCTTGAGAGCTTGTGTTAGGTACTCTAGTGGAGTCTGCAAATACAGGAAAAAAATCAGAGCACAAGAAAAGTCAAACAAACTGAAAATATCAAACTGCAGAAATAGAGAAAGAAACTGGACTCAGTCTCTGGAACTGTACAAACCTTTGTTTTATCACGGATAACAAGTAGCAGTGTTGTCTTGCGAGGGCTGAATAAACGCATCAAGACCTTAATAAAGAGAGAAATGATAATAAATGACTGAACCTGGGAGAAAAGGAATACTGTCTCACTGTAAGAAGTATCACCTGAAATACTGTTTTCAAAAGAGGCCTGTTAGCAGCATGTTCTCGCCCAATATCATGACACCACCTGCAGATCATATAATACTTAAATATCTCCCTTGCTCACCAAAATTTTAACTTTCAATTAAGCAGTAATATGTGAAATAGAAACTCACAAATTTATCATAACAATGTCTGAAACTGCAAGAGCAAACAGAGCACTCTGCTTCTCGAAAGCTGTATCATCCTGCAAGAAGAAAACATTAGTATATGAGCGATAGATAACATTAGCAAAACCATAGTAATCAGTTGCCCATCAGTGGTAAACCTAAAACAAAAGAAATTCCATATTTGTGAAAACTATAAATGACTGGCTATGTATAATTTAAGTTGACGCAAGGAAATCTTTGCTCAACACAGAGAACGGGTATGATTAATTCAAACCAAACTAATTACACTAAAAATAATGGATGCTCAAATGAGTTGCTTGTATTCAGGCAGCCATGTGGTAAACTAGTGACTAACGTGGCGAAGGGACATGTATAGCTCGAAGCAACCAAATGCATTAATCACCCACATGGCATATTATTGGCAACATTATTCACAGTATAGTAGTCCTGAATCTTTAAGATCCTTAGTTCCTTACAGGATAATTAACAACGGCACTAATGTTGCATGTGAATCAATCCAAGTACTATTAATTGCTAAACACAGCCAATTTCTTCTTGACAGGTTAAATGCCATAGTACATAGCAAATCAGGTACTTGCAAATTGTAATTTGGCAACCCGTCAGCACATGATGCGTCATGGTAAAGCACAACGCACAAGAGAACACAAGAACATGCTATAGGGGGAGGACCAATAACAGTCAATTAGTAATGTCAGAACATGGAAAACACAATTTGATGAGAAAGAAGAACACTGTTCGGGAACATTTAATAAGTTCAGAAATGGCTGCAAGTAGAACTTTCACCTGCCCTCGCTCCCTCCCGTCCGTCCCCTCCAGGTCCAGCACAACAGTGAACGGCTCGATCCCAACAGCCTTGGCGATCCAAATGCCCTTGGTGGTCTGGTGCCTGGTGTCAAACAAAACGAGCAGCACATATCACACCAACAAATGCAGATGATGTAACAAGCAATGCTTCTGTACGTGCTCGGTGTTTGTTTACCTTCCTTTCAAGGCATCCATTTCCCTGAAGCTTGTCCCGAAGAGGTGGTTGAGCAAGGTGCTTTTCCCTGGCCGGTGTACAAAGCAGCAGCCGTTAGAGACGGGCCCTGAATCTAATCCAACTACTACCAGGACAAAATTGCTAAATGAAGGAATCGAAATTGAAGCCTAGGAGAGCTCGACGATCATTACACGCTACTACATGGACGGGGAACCAATCAACTGTGCAGTAACAATGTAATATATTAAAGTAGACGCAAATTGGCAACGGCTGTAATTGTGGGGAAAAAAATTGGCCACGCCACGATAACCTGGATCATTCTCGATTCCTCACCGACCAAGCACCATGAGCAACTGACACCAGGGTAAGCTAAGACACAGACACGAGAATTTCATACGGGACATAACTGAATGTCTGAAACTCTGAATCCGTTCACTACGCCGACTCTGCACAAAACCCCAGCGAGGACCCCGCCGCAGCACCCATGTACCAGAAGCAGAGGGGAAGGGAGGGGGAGGCCGGAGGAGGAGCAGGGGAGGGGAGGATGACGCGGCTGACGTACGTACCGCTGCCCTGGGGCCCGAGGATGGAGACGACGGCGTAGGAGAGGCCCCGCCCCCAGAGCCCCGCGGCGGCGGCGAACCGCTCCATCGCGGCCGCGTCCATCTCGCCGTCCGCGCTCACCACCTGCGCCGCGTGGCACTCGCCGCCGACTCCGACGACGCCCCCCGGCGCGTCCATCGATCCCCACTCGCGGACTCGCCGGAGAACCGAAGCGAAGCAACCCACAAGTTGCAGGCTTGCAGCAGAGCAGAGGCGCCCGCAGCGATGGCGAGCGAGAGAAAGAATGAGAGGCGCCGCGCAGAGAGACAGGTGTCGCGTTGCGCGGCTTGCGCCGCTATTGGGGTTTTATACGTGGGTTTACGGAAGAAATAGGAATGGAAACGGCGGACGGGTGACCCACCAAAAGCCGGAAGTAAAGATGGCAACGGATATCCGATAGGTTTTTACTTTATTAGGCAAAGTTTTGAAAATCGACGATTACGTCTCGCCTAGGTGCGCCTAGTCGCTAGGCTATGGCCTGGCGCCTGGATAGGGGGTAATCGCCCCTCTAGGCGGGCAGAGCGACTAGGCGGAGCTAGGCGGCGCCCAGGAGCCCTAGGCGGCGCGGAATCGAGCTAAGCGGGCGACGCAAGCCATCGCACGCGAAAGAATGGCTCCGCGGGCGAGCACGCGCAGAGCTCCAGGCACGGGAAAAAGCCGCGCGCTGCTGCACTAGAGAAGGATAAGGGGGACAAGGGGAGAGAAAGTCGTACTCGCCTCGACCTCGACCTCCGCCGGGAAGCAGGTCCCGCCGGCTGCGCTGCTCACCTGGAAGCATATCCCGCCGGCGAGCCTCCTCCCCGCCTGGCAAGACCCGCCGGCGACGCTGCTCCCCGCCGGTCTCCTTCCTCCTCGACGAGCTCCTCCCCGCGGGTCGTGCTCCTCCCCGCCGGGAAGCAGGTCCCGCCGGCTGCGTTGCTCGCCTGGAAGCAGATCCCGCCGTCGAGCCTCCTCCCTGCCTGGCAAGACCCGCCGGCGACACTGCTCCCCGCCGGTCTCCTTCCTCCTCGACGAGCTCGTCCCCGCGGGTCGTGCTCCTCCTCACCGGTCTCTTCGTCTTCGTCGCCAGAAGCTCCTCCCCGCCGGTCTCCTCCCAAGATCTGTATGTCCTCCCCTGCTCCTCTGTTTCCTTCCCCTGCTTTGTCTGTTTGCAAACATATACAGCCGGTCTCCTCTGTTTCCTTTCCCTGCAGTTGTTCCTTTTCCCTGCTCTCCTCTCCTCTGTTTCTGAAATCTGAAATTGTTGAATGATTCCATGTATCTACTATGATGAATATGTGATATTGTTGACTGCATCTGCATGTGTGTGTGTGTGTGTATATATATATATATATATATATGAATTTGTTGACCGCGATTGCATGTATATGTTTGTAATTTGTTGATTGATGGCTTGAACTCAGATGACAGGAACAGAGGGTCAATCTGAAACTGAAAGGTATGTTTACTGGTCCTTCCCTATTTTTTATCTAAATTATTCATGATTTGTGCTATAAATGTATATATTATATATTGATATATAAATATAAATTGGCAAATCGTCTAGAAAAACGCCTAGCATCGCCTAGGCTAGCCTAGGCTAGACTAGTCGCTAGGCTAAGGGTCATCGCCTAGCAAAACTTTGTTATTAGGGTAATGATATGGGTCAATTTCTCTACCATGAGTTTACTAATGTCTGAAAAATCTGACCCAGCTGATTTGTAGGCGTGGGTCGAAGATGTAGTATCCAAACCTGTGAACCCATGGGTTTTTTAAACCCAGTTATTATAACAGTTAGCACTATGCTCCTCACCTATTCTTTGGTTGGGCCTTGACAAGGAAATAGGCCCAAGTAACATTTGCTTCCATTCCATTTGTCGCACAGAGCAGGCTGCACTTAGTCTCGTATCACCAAGCCAGGGAAGAGAGTTGAGGAGGTAGAGCATTTCCTTGCGAATGAATTTTGTATGATGGTTGATGATAGAATGTTCCATTCATCCATATTTTTGTTTCAAGGTTTCAACTTTTCAAGAAAAGCATGGGAGTACCTAATAACACAGGGAGTGACGGAGACGTCGAGCCAGTAGTACTGGAACTGTTGTCGTAGGTACTAAAGAAGTTGCGCCTGCGCCCTGCGTGACCGCTGTCCGCTGCGCGTTTTTGTAGTGTGGAATAGAAAAATTCGCCCAGCTCGGCGATCACTTTAAGATCGTGCCTTTGCTATTTGTCGTAAAGATACGAGGGCCCATTTGTTTATGACTTCATCTGTGAAATAGCAAAGCCTTCAGACCATTTCGGGCCATCTCAATGTTGGGCTGGTTTCTATTCGTTAGGCCCGACCACAGGAGGCCTTATCTGATATTACCATGTTAATGCTGGGCTGCTCCATGGTTAAGAAGAATCGGGGGTGTTTTGTCTGGGCTGCTAAACTTTAGTCTATTTAGTTACTTTTTACCCAAACATATGAACTAAATGGGATTTTGTATTTGAATTTGAATTGTATTTTAATAAGTAAAAGAAGTCAGTTAATTCATTAAGGCTATGTTTATACCGTGTATCAATGGTCAATTATGAGTTAGTCACCAAGGGGAGCTAAACTAGACTAAAAGTCAGGCTGCCTCACTTTTTAGTCACTTTATAGCCAAACACCCTGACTAAAAAGAACTAAAAGGCATCTTTTAGTCTTTTTAGTCCACCAAACCAAATAGGAGTGACTAAAGTTTAGCAGTTGGTTTAGCTGGCTAAAATTTAGCAACTTCAATCCAAACATGGCCTTAGTCCAAATTTCCAAATATCTCGAGGCTTAGTATTTTAGGGGGTGTTTGGCGGGACTTCTGCTGAGGGGTTCCTCCAAAGGAGCCAGAGACGTTTTGGTGGTTCCTCCGTTTTGGTGGTTCCTCCAAAACGGCTGCAACTCCTTTGTTTTTACTGAAAAATGGCTCCTTCTACAAAACGTTGGGTGGGTCTTTTTTGTCGGAGCTAGAGCTAGAGCTGGGGAAGAGCCCTACTAAACGAGCCCTTACCTTAGTTTCACTCGGTTTTTAATGACTTTTTATTTGAGGTGATTGGGGGCGAAGATATTGGAAGAGGCAACTTCAAGATCTTTTGTGAGGAAGGGTCATAGTCATAGGTAGGCAACCTGTTGCAAGAATCATATTCATATATCTTGTCTACGATGACAGTACCACTGTTCTGAGATACAAGCTATATCCTAAGTTTGTCTTAAAGTTAAAATATCTTAAGCTCAACTAAAAGTTTATAGAAAAGAACAAAATGAGCATAACTATTACAGAAGAACTAGATGTTTAATACACGGGACACGTAAATCTTTTGTGTGATCGAGAAAAAAAAAGAGAAGGACACGATATGAGAGAGACCTCACTAAACACACGGGACGAGATGTGGCTGTCACCAAATCAAGTCGATCAGCATGAATATGAGGGCTCTTCAGAGCAGTGCCAGCCCTTGGGGTAGGGCACGAGGTGTGACAGCCGAGGGCCCAAGTGGAGGAGGGGCCCAAGCCCAGGTATACAAATCTTCAGGTCCTATAGTTCATTAGGCATTAGCAAACTAATAAGAAGAGAGACATAGAACTGGTCAGGCGGCCCAAAAAGACAATATCGGTATTTCTTTCCTAGTTTCCTTTCCTCACGGCCCTCGGGTAGAGAGGAGGCGAGGAGTCACGCTGCACACAGCACACTCTGATCGTGAGTTCGCGACGTGCGTCTTACACACACGGAGCTGGCGAGCCGTGCCGCCGCGAAGAGCTAGACTACCGGAGACACGAACACGGCGCACGAGGACGGCGACCAAGCAGGGCTTCACGACGACGATATCTTGATTCTTGGCTTCTTAAGAATTGCGATCACCGATCATTTGTTTAGCTCCAAAGTATTTTTTTCTTTTTATTTTTAATCCAAATTAATTATTTGTATAGTATTCAGACTTCTAGTACTTTGTACCCATATAGTCATATTTTTCTTCTAATTTAGGTGTTAGAATTTTAGACTGTTACCTAAGAAACATTTGTCATGGGTGAGAAAAGAAAACGAATATATTGTTTTTTTAATCTACAGTGTTTCTCAATAATTATCATACATCTACGAATATATTGCTTAATCTACATTGTTCCTCGATAATTATCAGACATGTTAAATTAAAAATATGTTATTGAATTTGTTTTCGTTTTGCAAGTAAAATTAACGTCTATATATTATAAGATTTTATACATAGTCAAGAGAGGCCGTTGCAACAAGATCATCAGAGAGCCCTTAAAATCCTGGGACCGACACTGCTTCATCAGAGCATGAACTGCTATGCAATGTTTTGTACAAGCCGAAACGGTCCCTTGTCTAGAAGCTAGCTAGGACAAGGAGTCGGTTAAAAATCACTTAAAAAATACTCCCTCCATCTAAAAAAAGCGCAATTCAAACCTGAACTAAAAAAAGCATAATTTGGGCTGGGTTTAGTTCGCGATTTTTGTGAATTTGGTTACTATAGCACTTTCGTTTTTATTTGGCAATTAGTGTTCAATCATGGACTAATTAGGCTCAAAACGTTCGTCTCGCAATTTCCAACCGAACTGTGCAATTAGTTTTTTTTTTCGTCTACATTTAATGCTCCATGCACGTATCGCAAGATTCGATGTGATGTCTACTGTAGCACTTTTTGAGAAACTTTTTAAAACTAAACAAGCACTCCAACCTGAACAAGTTTTTTTTTTTTTTTTTTTTTTTGGAGGGAGTATATCACACACCGTGCGGGCTGATCATCGGCGGCGGGCGGCGGGCGGCGGGAGGCGGGCGGCGGGCGGCTGAGCTGTGGTGCAGTGGTTTTGTTGTTGCGCCGTTTCCGAATTGCGTCGCGCCTTGCGTCTGGAGTTTTGGACGTACTGTACGTTTGGCTGGGCCTTGTCAAGTCTGACAGAACGCGCGGGAGCTTCGCTGCGCTGCATGCGCTTGGACCGCTTCAGCGCGCTGCAAGCTGCATGGGTGCACGGGCCAATTGATCCCAGCTCGTGAGCGGTGCAAGCTGTTTGGTTCAGAGTGGCAAAAGGTTGCCTTGGTCAGGTGCTGAATTTTGATGGTCTTGAGTACCTCAGGTATCTTTATTTACAATGATACACAAGCCAACAATAGTTAAATAAATAATGACGATGCTCTCAATCTTCAAAATTCGTTGCGTCATGTTGTTCTCTAGAGATGAACGAACAAGGCCGGGCCAGCTAGGTAAGGTGTGTTTGATATGGTGGATGAGGTTAGAAATGCCTAGGTGCGTTTGCGGGAGAACATATATAGTTCGCTTGTGAACGAAAGCAAAATACAGCCATCCATTTCTACGTGCATGCTGCACGAGGAACGTGGATAGAGCCCTCACTTCGGGTGTAATGTATGATTGATCCAATTGATTCCAGGGGCCGTAGGCCGTAGCGAGCTCCGCTGACGCACTCACTGAGGCCGGTGCCGAATGCCAAATCTCCTCGTCGCCGTCGACGTCGACGTCAGGCAGGTCCGGAATAGCAAGCAATATCCCCCTTCCGGGCTTTGGAAATCGGCTCGCGCTTTCCTGGTACCTTCCTCAGGCGCCCGCGGTCCGCCCGGTCCAGCACGCCGCGCCCCACGGCGTCGTCTCCGCGGATGATCGTCTTCCACCTCTCTCCACCCGCGTCTTTCCCCCGCCTGTATATATAACCAAACCAAGTTCACCCGGAGACTAGAAATTTCGCCGTAATACCACAAAAACACATCCACCAGAGCGGCCGCTACCGCACGCGCCGGAGGCAGAAGAGAGCATCAGGGGCCGGCCGAGGCCAAGGCAGGCAAGAACCTCCTCCGTCGGGGCAGCAGAAGAGGAGGAACAGCCAGGAGCTAGCGGAGGACGATGCTTCCGGGCGTGGAGCTCGCGCGGCGGCGGCGCGTGCACTACCACGGCGACGTGGCGTCGTCGTCGGCGGAGCACCACTACTACGCGCACGGCCACCACGCGGCGCCCGCGCCGACGGGCGTGGCGGGGCCCACGCTCGCGGCGCGCATCCGGCTCGAGGAGAAGCTGCGGGGCGCCGCGCTGCCGCCGACCTCGCCGTCCAGGTCGGTTGACTTGCCTCTCCTCCTCCCTCCCTCTCCTCTGCTTCCTCCCCTGTTCTGCATATACGCACGCCTCCGTTGGGAAGACGAGAGAATCTTTTGAAAAGATGGGAAAGGAAAAACATGAGCGATTATCGAAAGATGAAGCGATTGGACAAGAGCAGCATAAGATACAGGATCGCCCTGTTGATTACGGCACCATAAAACCTGCGGGGAGTTCGATTGCAGCATCGGAGATGCATCATCAATCACGGGAGTTGGCTTCCTTGTTTGTTTGCCTGCTGTCTCAACTCTGAATTATTGCGTGATCACTACTAGTAGAAGCTGAGTATGTACTAGTAGAGATCACTACACAACACCCGCAACCGAAAGGGATGGCCCTGTTTCTCCGAGAAAATTCTCGTTTTCCCCGAGTTCTCGTTGAGCCTATCTTTTCTTTTGTCGATACAAACCGGTTCTCTCTCTTTCGTCGATCGATCTCAAATTCCCAATTTCCCATGATGCGCTGCGTGGTACTCCAGTCCAGTTCTAGAGGATTGTAGAGCGGTAGTACCATACTAATGGCAACTGCCAAGTGGACGATGGAATCTTGCATGTGGCGCGGTGTGGCCTGGCTTTTCCGCTCACAAAACAAAAAAGTCGAGTCAAAAGAAAACGCACACTTATTGTCTTTTGATTTGAGTTGTGTGATTGTGTCCTAACCTGCTCCTAACTAACAATCGGCGCCTGAACCAAACGCAGGTGGAGCAGGCTGAGGGCGACCCCGAGGCACCCTCCGAGCACCAGGCGGCGAGACGAGCAGCAAGACGTTGTCCCGGCGACCGGCGCCGAGCCCGGGCCCGAGTCCTGGCGGCCGCCGGCTCCCGACCCAGCGGCCCTGCTGCAGGCGGCAGCGGCGGATATGCCGGCGTCGACGCGGCGCCAGCGCCGCGCGGAGCTGACGCGGACGCTGTCCAAGGTGGACGTGCGCGGTGTGTCTGGACGAGGTCCGGGAGCGAGCGGGTCGCGGCTGCCGTGCTCCCAGGAGTGCGTCGGCCATCCACCCGGTGACGCGGCTGCCGTGCCGACACGCTCGTCCACCACTAGCTCCAGCAGGGGGCTGCGTCCTCCGGCTCGTGGTGCTGACGCCATCTTGTCTCCCTCTGCCGATGGCTGCCCGTTTGCTGCCGCGCGCTCGTGCCGTCAAGCGCTTGTTTGTAACGACTTGATTTTGACGAACATTTGTATTGTTAGCTGGCAGCTGCAAAGTTTTTTTAGGCTCTAAGTTTGTAGCATACTGAGAAAAAATTATAGATGGCTTGGTAGCTAGTAGCTGTTGTACAGACATTGAGCTCTGGACCTCTGGTGCTGTGTTTGTATTCAAATCCGGTGAATTACACGAGCTGTGGTGTTGATAGTACGCCATTTTTTTGGGGGTCTTCCTGCTCCTCCTGAAGGCTCTGCTGTTCCATGATTTGTAGTGCTCCTGAACTGCTAACAAATGGCGGGGTATAGTTTTCCAGATGGGCGGTTGGCCCCAGCACGGCCCGCCCCAAGCAGCTGCGTGCGGTGCCGCGACGGCTCACGCGGCTCGCGTCTGCGCGCGGGTCGCACATTCGGCCCATGGGCCAGCGTGACGGCACGACACGGTAAAGAGGCTCTGCAGCCGCTAACGCCCGCTATCCAAAGGAACTCTTAGCCGTCTGATCCCCGATGGATTGTGGCTTGGATCTAGGGGCAACGGCGCCCGCCACAGATATAAGCCGGGCCGGCCTCCCCGGCCGCCACTCACAAACCCTAAATCATTTAACGCCTCTCCTCCGTCCCTCCTCTCCTCCTCTAGTTCTCGCAGTCTCGCCTCGCTCCGACGACGGGCGGCGGGCAACGGCCCCTCCCAAGGGGCGACTAGCTTCATCGCTGCCGACCGACCTCCTCACGGATCCTCCTCTCCGATCCGGCTAACACTGGCAGCTTCTCCTTGGATCGGCGACAGCTAAATCATGTAATCATCCTCTGCTCTTCTTCTTCTTCCTCTCGGTAATCCCCTAACTTTCTTTCTCTCACACCGACTTCGATGCTCCGCATTCCTTAGGAGTTGCCGCGTCTTCAAATCAACAATGCTAAGAAACCCTAACCCTAGCTCCGGAAGCCTAACCCTAACCCTAGCTCGAGATCTGCTCCGTTCTTGATTTCTTTTCTTGAATCTTGAGTTCTTGATAAGTGAGGATGCGTCCGCCCCGCCCTCCTCTCTCGAGGACACGGTGGAGGCTAGTGCCATCGCCATGGTCGATGAGATGGAGAGGTCCGCGACCTCCCCCCAGTGATGACGACGACGACGACGACATGGGGGCGACGAAGAGGTAGAAGAGCTCTTCGGCCGTGGAGCCGCACTGTGGAGTGGGGTGAGTGACCCCATCGACCTTGATGGTGACGAAGGTGGTGGTGGAGAAAAGACGGTGAGAACGCCGATTTACGCACCAGGACCGGTATCACGCCCCTCTACCTACGATGTGTGGCAAGATTTCCGTAAGCTCTTCAAAATGGGTCCCAAAGGTAAGAAGATCGTATGGCGCTATGCTGCATCCATTGCAAAAAACAAGATCAGGTAGATCTGCGGTGGCACTGCCACCTCCGGTAAATCACAGGATAAATGTGCTAAGAGGCGTAGTAGTTTGTTTCTGATTTCTTTTTGAATCTTGATGGTTTGTAATTGGGATTATGGCAGCTGCAAAGTAGATTGCTTGTTTTGTTCCTAAAAGGAATACATTGGCTAATCCTAAGTTTCAGTTTCTCTACACAAACCACAACTGACTTAGCCAAAATTTTATAGATGGCTTGGTAGCTTGCTATTCTGTTAATTGTGTGTTACCTACCGATATTTGGTGTGGCCTTATCTTAGTGTTGTTGCTCATTACATAAACAGATTGGCAACTAGAGAAGAGGGTTCTTGGTCTTGTGCTTAGATTGTTCCCAGCTCTGATAGACATCTGTTCTGGTGCTGTGCTTGAAAAAGTATTTGTATTGTTACTTTGGGCAATGCTTCATCTAATGTCCCCGTGAATTTTTATCTAAATATCTTGATCTTGCTGTCAAGACATCCTGAAGTTGATAGTACTATGTTGAAAAAGGCCATATTCAACATTTTTTTAAGGGGGCACTTGATTATCTTAAACCTTTGATTGAAGTTTTTAGAACCATATCATTTTTAAACTCATCTAACCTTGCCAAAACTATTGCATTGCTTCTAGTTATAGGCCTAGAAAGTTTCAGCTTGGACATGGATGTATGAACTCTACATTCTCATGCTTAAGACTTTGTTTCTCACAAAGATCCTTTCACCACTTTCATACATGCTAACTATCCTAGAGGTGAGGGAGGTGAGTTGCTTCTAATCAAGACATTGGGTTGTTCTTTGAAAAAGTCTTTAAGTTTCTTGAACTGTTCTATGATGCTACTGTTTTGTGTTTTGTTTTATCCACATTTATGCTTTTATCCCCCTGATTAGCTAAGAATTTAAAATGGTAGACAAATATAATAAATTGAGGGACATACTTTTAGTTTATCTTGATAAGTCGTCTAGGAAGTTGAAAAAAAGATCGACTACAATGCTGGGCACTAGAGCTAGGCTTACATGTTTACATAAAAGACTGAAGTTCCTACTAGTGTTAATGACAAATGATGATGATTCACACACATATTTTACTATCAAACTATGGAATTTTACAGTTTTTTCTCATACTTAGGTACATAGGTGAGAGGAGGATAAAATCTTGAGTTTGGCAAAGGATTTTTAATCTGCTTTACTGTCTCTATCATATCTTCGAATCTACCTGCACACGTGCTATGTATGAAGACATAACTTATAATTTGAAATTTGTCTAAAACAAGGAGCTTGAAGAAGCATTTAAAGACCTCTATCTTGATTAGTGCACTTAAAATCCTAATGCTAACTCGTTTTTCTTTTGAAGAGGCACTTTGAAGCATTAGTTTTTTATTACTTTAGTCTTTACTTTCGAAATTAAATGAGGTACTAGTCAGCTACTCTCGTGTCTGCTTTATTGAAGCATCGTATATTTTCTTAACTCTTGTGTGTTTGCTCTGCTTTTGAAATTATTACAATTAATCAGAAACTTAAAATGTGTTTAGTGTCTGGGCGCTTTACCGGCGCGGCGACGGTGGCTTCATAGTGCGAGCGCCGCGTAGGCAAGGAAAAGGCGGAGCTGGCGGCGGTGGCTATACTCTTGAAGCATCAGCACCAGTTTTGATAAGTCGCTAGGGAAAAAATGGACTAGTGGCCTGCGGAAGCCGTGTTAAACAAACACACATATATTTTACTATCAAACTATGGAATTTTACAGTCCTTGGAGTTTTATTTGTGCACACGGCTATGTATGAAGACATAACTTATAATTTGAAATTTGTCCACTTAAAATTCGGCGGCTAGTCACTACTCTCGTGTCTGCTTTATTGAAGCATCGTATATAGAGGGCCGCGTAGGCACGGTGGCATGGAAGCATCAGCACCAGCGCCCCTGCGGAAGCCGTGCCACACCAAAGCATCTCGGCCGGCGGCCGGTCGCGAGACCATGGCACGGTGGCCTCGGCGTCCGTCACGAGGCTGCACGAATAGGAATAACAGGAAGACGCGCGGGTGCGCGCGGGCGATGTCGTAGCGGACGACGACATGGCCGCGGCGGCGGCACAACCAGTAGAAGGACGCGCCGACGTAGATCGATCCCCGAGGGGCGAGGAGGCGACGCCGAGGCGTCGTGCCGTGCCCTGCGTGCCAGGCACGTTCGTCATGTCCTGCCTGCCAGTCTCGGATGACGACAGGATCCCGACGCGCGCGACGGCCGTGCGCAGTCACCGTGTCGAGGTCGTAGTGGAGTCCCGACGCCGTGTCCGCATGCAGTCGGTGGCAAAGCTGACGGCTTCTTGGGTTGCAGGAAGTCAGGAACTGGCAAACAGCAGGCTGACGGGCGGAGGATTGCAGGAGCAGCAGTTCGCTTGATGGCTGTGTTACCGACTACACGAGTTCAGCTATATATTGATAGGGTAAGTGGAACAAGGTCTCGGAACACCGGCGACTCGCCGTGCCCGCCGCCACCATCGCCTGCCGGCACGGTTCAGGAAATATGACCAAGTCGAGTTTTGCCTTCTCAGGCAAGGGTACAAGAAGGAGCCGTGTGAGCTTTCCCTTCCGAGTTGGGACACACAGGGCCGTTGTTCAATTCACCCAGTCTGGCCCATATATTGAGTGTTCACCTTCTTGGTCCTTTTGGACCGCTCGGCCCATCCCGCTTCCACTTCCTTCATTCCTGCGCCACCTTCAGGTTCTTCAGATGCCGTAGCAGAGGTAGGTGGTCTTGCGACGGTGACATCTCCCCGATCTTGAAAACCAGCTTGTCCCAAAGCTGGTGCACGAGGGAACTGTTGGCGAAGCGGAGCTTCATCTTCCCAGGTGTCCAGCGCAGAGGGCGGATCGGACCAGCGGACTTGAGGCGTCATAGTGTCGTTGTGCTGATGCAGGCGACGACCGAGGATAGCGATGGGTACCTTGTAACTCATTAGTAGCATCAGAAATAATGGAGCTTACTGGTGTTGATGGAGGAACAACCGTCTTCAGTTGTGAGATGTGAAATACTGGATGGATTAGACAACCATCTGGGAGCTTCAGTCTGTAAGTTGACTGACCAATACGCTCAATGATGCTGAAAGGCCCAAAAAACCGAAATGCTAACTTGTTCGATGATCTAGGAGCCAGAGAAGTTTGCACATATGGTTGTGCCTTGAGGTAAACTTGTTGGCCAACCTGGAACACACGATTAGAGCGCCGTTTATCTGCTTCATTCTTCATCTTGTGTTGGGCTCTTATCAGATGCTGGCGAACTAATTCTTGCATAAGTTCACGTTCCTCCAGCCAATTCTACAGATCACTCTGTTGACAGGACTGAGAAATGTCCACTCCAAAATGTCTGCGTTCATGACCATAAAGAACCACAAAGGGACTCTTGCCAAGAGATGAATGGAAAGATGTGTTGTACCAATACTCAGCAAGGGACAACCATTGAGACCAGCGAGTTGGACAAGCATGGACAAAACACCTTAAATAGGTTTCAAGACATTGGTTAACTCGCTCGGTTTGGCCATCGGTTTGGGGGGTGGTAGGCACTGCTCATTTTGAGATCTATGTTTAAAAGTTTGAAGAGCTCCTGCCAGATGTGGCTGGTAAATACTTTATCTTGGTCTGAAACCATAGCAGGCCATGAAGTTTAAAGACATTGTTCATATAGAGGACAGCAACTTGGAGAGCTGTAAATGGGTGGGCAAGGGGTAGGAAGTGAGAGTATTTGGAAAATTTGTCAACAACCACAAGAATGCAGTTGTAGTTGGAGGATTTGGGAAGGCATTCTATGAAGTCTGGTGTAACAAGTTGCCAAGCCCCTTCAGGTATGGGAAGTGGTGCTAAGAGTCCTGGATAAGCTACTCTTTCTGTTTTGGCTTGTTGGCATGTGGTACACTGTGCAACATAGGATTTGACAGTATGTTTGAGTTTCGGCCAGGCAAGGAGTTGCTTAACCCTCTTGTAAGTAACCTCAAACCCAGAGTGCCCACCTATAGCACTAGAATGCAAGCTAGAAAGGATTTTGGTGTGTAGGGAAGGGTTGTTACCAATCCATAGTCGACCCTTGTACCTGATGAGTCCATCTTGCAGAGTATGAAAACCAACAGTTGGTGTGATAGATAGTTGGGACAAGAGATGGGCAGCTTCAGGATCTTGATGATATGAGTCCTGAACTTCCTGGAGCCACACTGGTTTGATAACTGACAAGGCAGAGATATCATAAGATGTTGAATGTTGAGCTCTTGAAAGTGCATCAGCCACCTTGTTTTCACAGCCCTTCTTATAAATGATCTTGTATGTCAGACCCATAAGTTTTGTGAGAGCTTTGTGCTGCCATGGAGTTGATAGCCACTGATCATCTAAGTGTGTCAAGCTCTGCTGATCAGTTAAGATGATAAATGGTGCAGTTTGCAGATAGTGACACCATTGGTCAACTGTCATAAGAATGGCAAGGCATTCTTTCTCATAAGTGGACAAACATTGAGCCTTCTTACCCAAAGCTTTACTAGCATAAGCAACTGGGTGACCTTGCTGCTTGAGGACAGCTCCAATTTCTTTAGCAGAAGCATCAGTCTCAACCAGGGTTTACAATTTCGGCGAAATATCGCCGAAATTTCCAAAATATCGCCTTTTTCACTGAGGTCCGAAGTTTTTTTGTATCGGTCAAATTTTTTCGGTTAAATTCATCTTTCACTCTAAAATTACACCAAACCACGCTAAAATGACCCTCCATATCATCTAGTCTTATCAAAGCCCTAAATTTCTTCAAATTTATTTAATTTTCTCACTCACACATTGGACGGCACTAGTATATGCAGCTCGCCCACCGTCAGCACACTGTATTACCGCGGCTCTACTTCTGTGATATATTATGTTATTTCGTCGATGTTATATAAATTTATGATAAATGATGGATTATAGAGTTTTTCTAGTGAAATGATGCCAAATTTGTTTAAAACTTAATTTAAATTTATTTAAATTTGAA